TGATATTCTATAACTTTCTACATATCATTTTAACAACAGGAGGTTGATAACTCGGAAGATACGAGAGAATTCAAGGAGAACGAGAAAAGAGCATACCCCAGAGTCAAGGGAAAACCTGGTCTAAAGAGATTCTAATCTAGAAACTGTTATCCTCGCATGAAAAGAATGCTTCCTTCTAGATAAGGAAAGTCTAAGTTGCACACGACTGTATAATCTTTCTATTAGCGAGATAAATGCGAGCAGAAACGGTAAAATAATCCTGCAGCTCATCGAATTACCATATATCAAGACGCATTCTCACGTATCGGTTGATAGAAGCCGACATAGCACGGTGATAAGGCGACTATTTTCATTCGACAGCTGGGTGACACACTTTTTGACGATCATCCTGAAATCTCGCTCTTTTTCCACGGTGACTTTCGTGAAACTTTCTCGAGGAGGTCCGATGCATTTTTATGAAGCTGAATCCCCTTCCTCTCTCGAGACTGGCAACGATGGTCGCCAAGTGAGTTTGAAGTTCCTCGTATGGGTACGGGAGCTGGTTTCGCCGTTTCTTCAGACGAGTAATTTTTTTAATGACAGCATTCATCACGCATAATCGATCTCTTCTGCGAGAGGAGAGATTTCTACTCGCGCAGCGTTTGTCCCATAATCTCGCGTCTTTCTTGTTCGTCGTAAAATTTCAGTGCTTCTCGACGTTAACAGCGATCCAACTAATAACCGCTAACTTGTTGAAGCAACGTTGAACAATGTGGTGTAATTATGGCTGAAATGTGGGCAATGATGTAGATGATAAGCGATATGAAATAAATAGAATGATAGAACAATATAAAAAATACCCTAGAACAATCCTGTAGTACTAGTATCCACATGTTAGTATTATAGTAACAGTCCCATTCACGAGTAGTAGTTTTACTAACGTTCACGCAGAGCGAATGAGCAATACAGTGACAATGAAAATGGGATATAAGTCCTCGGCTCGTTAGACTTCTTCCACTTATTTCTCTTCACAGGACTTTCTTTCAACTTTTTCACCCCTCGATCATGTCCCAATCAGCTTTTTCTCCAGACCAGCAAAGGAGAGTCGTTTCTCTTTACCTGGATAAGGTGATGGTAGTTTCTTTTTCACCGCTTTCCCTATGGCTGCGTTAAACGTGACCCTGACCTCGACACCGTGTAGACGTACAAGGTGATTAATACGTTCCTAAGGGATTTATCTATTAACCAGAATCCATGTGCGAACAGCAGACCGAACGGATTTCTCTGTAGGGTTTCGATTAGCCATGTTCTTCGTATGACCCAATGGCTGAGACGAGTTTGAAGACTGAGAAGTTGTACGAAGAAAAATAAAGAATCAACGAAGATAAAATGATCTTGATAGATGATATACAACCAAACAAACCAATAGATAAATAGCGATATTATCGCACATCACACTGATGATAAAAATGGGTTTATCTAGGTGCTGATATGCAAGGTTCATTTGAATAAACAAGAATGATTTCAAACTTATCAAGCTGGTATTAGATATAGCAGATTATTAATATTTGGCTTCCAACGTTGTTAGAACTGCAGAGTTCGTGACTTGCATTTGCTAATCCGTTAATCTCGTTATTCTAGCCTCGGTATCCTTGTCTCTCGCTAATCAACTTAACGTACGACCACTTCTCTAATTACCTAGACTACCGCCATGAAAATTAACGGCCCAAAGTCTTCCATCGACGATTTCTGGAAACTTTGTTCCGGAGTTTGCACGAGAGATCCTACATTGATAGAATTCATAACATGGTGAATTTTTAAGCAAGTGCCGCAGCTGGTTTCTAAGAAATCAAACATCTTTCGGGCAGTTTCTCGTTACTTTCTCCCACCAGAAGCGAGCAAGAAAGTAAAAATGGAGAGCGATGTCGCCTTTCCTTCCCTCGGGGTAGCCACTTTCCGTAGGGTGGCCTTAATGGCGTATAATAAGCGTGACTTTCTTGAACACTTGCTACCAGCCGATCAGACGACAACTTTTTCCGCTGCATTTTGAAGGCGAAATGCAGTCGGGAGTATGGGAAGTTGGGAACGTGGGATTCGGGGATATCGGAACTGGGGAATGTGGAAACCCAGATGTGTAGCAACTTGAAAATGCGGAGACTCACGGATTTGCGAGTAAGAGGACTTGCGAATATTCCCAGTAAGCGACAGGATGGAAACTTGCGAATATTCCCAAGCGTGGGACCAAACGCGATGAAAGTTTGCGAGTATCTCTAAGGCGATGGCCGAACCGAATACTTTACTGTCCTCAGCCTTAAGATATAAATTCTGAGTCCAACAAAAATAGAGATGGCAAACATTTTCATGTCAACGACCGACCAGAATATTTGTTAATAGTTCTATTCTTCTGTACAGAGTCCTGCAGTGAAATTGCGAGGACAACGAAGTGTTAACGTTCCCCGAGACTCAGGGGGACTTTCGGATGATCGGCGATCCACGACAAGAAGCGGTCTTACGAGATCGCGCGTGGATCAGAGAGCGTGTTCGGTTCTCGTTGTTGGAAAAACTGGTCCCTTGCTGCTGGCCGTCGTGTTTCTTCTCGTCGAAAGCATACTTTCGTTGTTGCTAGGAAACTTCGATTTTAGACTACCTCAACGACCCTGCAAGACAACATGTGCGATATAATTTTTACATTTTTCTACAGATTATAAAGAGCAAAAATAAACTACAGATAAATATCATCGAACATCTGAAAGTTACTTATTCTTTATATCATTCTCGATAAAAAGACACAATTGGAAAGAAGTTTAATCGTATGTTTAAGCTGCATCTTTTTCCCTTTTCCCCAGAGTGTAATAAACTCTGCACTGGATTATCCGGTTTCTTTGTTACATTTTTATGCTCCAGGAGTGTATTTCCGGTGTCTAGTTCTGTTGCGGTCATTAAAAAGCGATTAGCAGAAAATAAAATGGTAAATTGGGCGAGGGGTAGGCGATTTCGCACGAGATTTTCTTCTGGTCTTGCCAGGAATTACATTTTTTTACAAGATGTCGTTCGCAGGACATGGGTAATCAAGATGGCGGAAACTGACAACGCGAAATATCGCCCTCCACGCAATTACCCGTTTTTCTAGACACGTTGATCCTTGTAATTACAGTCCGAGTCGAGTATAATCTCCCGAGAAATTTTTCGATTTTTTGCAAATAGTTATTACAGCTTTAATTTCGCTCGGATGATTGTAATTTGGCGCGAAACGATTCCAAATAGAAAAATTATGAGTTTCATCCAAAAATGTTTGAACTATTATATCTAACTTTTTATGAAACAATTTTATACTCGATAAAAAATATTATTTTTCAACAGTATGTCATACGCGTTCAACTATGAATTTCAGAAACACGACCAAAAAATAAATTTACATTTTCTGTCAAGTATCTATGATTATTTATTCGACGCACGACAATATTTCTCGGCGAAACAGCATGGAAAGGACACTTTCTTCGTAGTTTCCAAATTAAATGTCAGCTCAAGTGGAACGTCAACTCGAGTGGAACGTCAAGTTGATTCCCCAACTTCCGGTTTAATAATAAACATAGACAGGGAGAGAGAAATTTCGTTCCAATTATGAACGACAGAATTCAGATTCGATTTCTCTGTGCTCGGTGATTCCTTGCGCCAGCCATCCTTCAAAAAAAAATATGCAATGAGAATTTAAGGTCACTGTGATAATCACGAAAAGGAGAAATATTTAAGAGAGAAAAAAGGAGCATCGTTAACGAGTCGACGTCCGGTTTGATCATCTCTGAATTTTAATGAACGCTGATTTAAATTCGAACGTTCTTTGAAAACAACGCTGTTTATGCGTAAGAAATATAATTAAGAAATTAAATATTATTAAATATTCGAAAAATCACTGGCTCGAAACTGTTATACTTTCGTTACACTAGCGAAACTTTTAGGAGAAAAATTGAAGAACTTAACCTTAATACGGGAGAGAAAAAATGGCGGGAATTAAATGAAACGTGAAACGATCGTTTTAAACGCAATTTGAAAACAATACAGTACCCTAATTTTGCGGGTTTCAAAAGACGTCATAACAGTAAAACGAGTAAATACAATAAAGACGAAAAGCTGGAACTATTATGAGCAAGATTTACTACTCGAGATTGCATCTCTCGCGACGTTTAAACAGCAATTAAGACGAAGCTTAAGGTCACGTGACTGTGCTAATATCAGATAATAAGAACAGATACGGGTCGCTGAGCGAAATATAATTACGCGAAAAGTTAACCTCTGAAGGGTTAACTTTAATAAAAGATGGCGAATAAATCCTTAAGCGAGCTAAACTCGATAAAAATAGTCGATTGTGTAACTGTAAAACGCAACTCGTACGAGTTCACTTTTTTTCCTCGTTTGGGTCGTCTTTACGAGGCAGAGAATTGCCAGAAAAGGGTAGAAGTCGACAGGACGATACTTTCCACGTTAGGATACGGTTCGCGACTAATCGGACACGAGTCGTGTTTTAACAGCCAGTTCTTTTTCTTTCTTTCGCGAAACACCAAAATCACTTTGATTCATGGGCCACTTCTTTCCACGATGAATTTGCATACTATCCATAATTCTATGTATAAACAAAGAATTCTGAGCCAAACTCGCGGAACCGGAATCCAATTACTTCGACTGATTCTTCTGTAGATAAATAACGCACATCGAGAACGTTCACACGTGGCATTTAAAAAATGAATTCTACCCGTTAAGGCAAAAAAGAACTGACAACGGTTTCGTGATAAATATATGCGTTAATACTAGCCTGAGTTGGTATTCATCGTTTGCAAGAAAACCAGTTGATCCTGAACAATAACCCAACAGGAACAAACCGACTCGTACATTTACCTATCACGGAATCTGCATTGCAGGACGAGTAACGGTGCATCCTACGCGTGCGCATGCGCGGTGAATCGTATTGAAAACGCGCGCGCGAAGGGAACGACGAATTCTCGACCTTGAGAAAATCGAGAAAAATCGAATCAAATCGAATCGCATCGAGTCGAAAGTCGCTCTCTCGCTCGCCGTCGGGCATTTCTCGTGAACACTCGGGTAGTCACGTAAATCGCATACCTCGTGTTCTCCCTCTGATTACGTAAACGGATCGGGAACAAACGTATTACTTAATCGTGCGATTCTGCATAAATCACGACAACACGATTCAAGGAACTGCGTGTCTCGAAATGAACCTTAGGTATCGAAGCGCAAACAATTTCTCCGACTTTCATTTCACAGTGGTACGACCTCTAGCGACAGCTAACAAAAAATGTATTTAAACTAGTATCGAGTTACAACGATTTATCGATGCTTTTTTAATGGCGGTTTCAAATTTCCTTCGGTATGTTTACAGTTGGAGAAGAGTACGGTTAGTGCACAATATAACTCACAAGTTAACCTAACATTTTTATAAATAATGTAGAAGAATAATAATTGAAGAGTTGGACTAGAAAGCAGGTATCGAAATATCGAACGCAATACACGTCTAGTAATAGTTACATCACTATACAAAGCCTAATGAAGAATTTGCAAGAAACTGTTGCGTTTTCGTCACGAATGAGACCACAGGATAATAGACGGTACATAGATGGCAGTATTACGAACTAAACTCACCGAGTGTACGATGGAATTTACATCACTTCCGATTATCGGTTCTCTGTACAAGCACGAAAAAATGGTGCATCAATGAGGTTATAACCATAACTGTGCATACGGTGCGGGCTCACGTAGACCGAAACGAAATGCACGTTACAGTTGAGAAATAATCTATTACTCGACCGATTTTGGTCAGTGAAACTTTTTGTTTTACGGAACTGTTATTCGTAAGAATAATTTCTGTGCCTTCTGGCAGGTATTGCGTCAATAACGGAGTCTCCCGGAAGTCGAAGCGATCAATTCCGTGAAATAAAAAGTAGAGAAAATCAACGATGCTATACTGGACTTAACGCTTCAACGAGCACGTATAATACTTTTTCCTCTACATACAATTACACGTGTACACTCATGCAATTTCCAAATATAAAACCTTTGTACTTATAAAAATCACTCTTCGAATAAATTACAATTTGCAGGTAAACAGAATGATCGTGACGCACGACGAAATTCAATTAAAATGTGGATCACAGTTTGACTAACAAACCTAATATTTACATATGTGATTGTACAACAAAAAGGAGATCAAAGGCAAACCGGTACGCAACCGGTCATTGTATGCCACCTGATAACAGAGCTGATACGAGCGCAATGCAACCCAGATTTACAAATCAAGGCCACGACTATTTGTTCACACCTGACGCACAAAAAAGGTAATCGACGGTGAAAGTGTATGCACATCTTGGAGTGCATATAAGCTGCAAGAAAAATATGAATGAAGGTGACCCGCAAAACCTATTGGTTACACGTGCCTAAACTAGATAAGATAGTGCTCGACTTACTGATAACGCACTGACATTGTTTGCTTATTTTAATTATGACATTAGAAACGCTGTCGGCTTGCGTAATGATCTACTTAAAGCTACTATTAATTAATTGACTAATGATCCAACAAGCTAATCAGTTATTCCAAAATTATCTGCCTTAATGAATAATTATCAGTGACTGGAATTATAATTGCAATTTAATGGGTACTTACCCGGCTTACACAATACATTACACTGATATAGTTAATATAATTCTACTATATTAATATTGTCTGTCACAGTATGCTGAGTCAGTAGTATTACAAGGTAGATTATAGCAATAAATTATTACAAAGTATATCTATGCCAGTGTGTTACAGTATACGGACATGCAATGTCTAATAGTAAGTATTTCTAACGCTGTTCAAACTGCTACTTAAAATTCTCACTAAACATTCAACACAATTGAAGGTGCGATTCCAGTGAACGTGTAACTATTTCAATTATTATTCCAGCCAGAGTACAGATGGTCGTCTACAAACTTCGTGGGTTAACGGATTGCCCAGCAGCGGTAAAAGGACCATTTTTACACGTAACACGGGCGTGTCGCAGACGTTTACATGTGCGTGCTCGTGAAACCGCAGCAGCTGCTTGTACGCTTGGAAAAAATAATATAAACCCGCCACAATGTGCTCGAATGATACAAAGACCTCGAAACGGCGCTAGAAAGGTCACGCACGAGTGTTTACACGGGTCTAAATTACGTTCTACTGTGGTTCGTAATTGCGCGGGAAATTAAGATCGGGTCAAGTCGGGAAAAATCGGAAAAGATCGCGTGAAGGTATCTTCTTACAAATCCCTAAACTTTCGGGAACTGCAAAGGTCAAATGTTACGTTTCTATGAGTTATATCACTGCGTATTGTATAACCAGGTGCTAAGCCTACAAATTATAAGACCCCTCGTTATATCGCCGCGCGTAAAATATTTAGAAGGCGACCTCGATTCAGCGAAATCAGAGAATCATTATTTCCTTATTTAAAATCCCATTTTCTTTATTTTACAAACGGTACCTTCGTGTTTACACGCGTTGTGAAACCTTCTCTTTCTTTTTTCAGGTTTTACGTAACGAACATGCTGTCAAAAGACCACCTGATCGATTCTTGGACAAACAAGGGATTCGCAACGTTCGTAAGCAGCGAGAAACCAGAAATACTAAAAGGGAAATTTTAAACACACCGTCTTGCTCAAAACGACCACCTGCTACCGCTCTCTATTTAACTTATTCTTTGCAGAAAATTTTATGCAAGATGAATGAAAAGGAAAGAAAGTTATTGTGAAAGCATTAAGTATTAATTTTTTTTAATGTCGTGCACTTCAGCGTCAAAACATGGATGTCATGATAAATTAAATTCCTTACAAGTTTCCAAATATTTTGATTATCACGAGACGCAAGATTACGCTTGTTTTAATATCATTTTTTACGAAATCAAACACAAATCGAGAACAGGTAAGCGATTTCAAACGTGCTTTTTGATAACAAGTGTTTATGTTCGCCTTTACAGCAAAAGTGGATCAAAATGTCAAGAGAATTCTGCTTTCAAGAATTTAGAAATATGGTGTGATTAATCATCGATACGATGAAAAAATAAATTCGAAATTTACGCCATTACCATGCGCAGCTACGATAGATATTTACTTATCGTGAAATCTCAAGATTTCTATTTCGCTAGCAAACATAGACTATAAGAACGTTTCACGATGATAAGCATCCCGTGAAATCGTGAAGCAATAACACATATTTACAATGTGACGTACATTTACTGTTTCGACTTATGTTTGATAATGCGATAAAATGTTTCATGATTCCTAGATTACAGTAGGAAACTCATAGAATATACATAAAATATTAGTAACGCATCGAACTACGACAATTCGAACAATGAAGATGAAGAAATATAAGGTGTATTTCCATCGATAATATTTTTAAATAAATGGCGCGAAATAACCGCATTTCAAATAAGCTCACCTAGCGATTAATTCCCTGCTGTCATTCTGACTGTCATCGAATGGAACTTTTTACACTAGCTTCTCGAGATTACCTTGCCAGTCACAACTGTCACGAATTTATTACTTTTCACTACCACTTTTTGTTCGCAAAAAATTTAGAAACTTTTACGCTGAATCGCGTTGAACATGTACATCCCTGATCTACGACAGCATCGCCTGAAAGTCTGATCAAATAAAAATGTGCCAAATGTCTTTATTAGTGATAAACTAAGGGTAAAAATTAATATGTACGGTCAAAAAATCACGTGCTACGGAGCAAAACTTAACAACCTACACACGCGAACTGTCGAACTACGACTGACCGACAGCTAACGGCTCTCGTGCGAGAAGCTTCGGCAATTTTCGCGCTCACCCGTCGTGACTTCCCGTCAACCATTCGGCTGCCTTCGTTTGTAGCTCGACCATTTTCGTCTCTACTCGAAACGCGCCGACACAAGTGATAATTTTTCGTAATATTAATTGCAATTATCGCAAGTTTTCTTAATTTAGAAAATATTATTGAGTGCTTTCTTTGTGTCTTGCTAAATTATAAACTGCGAACAATATTGACGCGAGTTTTATAGTAAGGCGATACAATTTTAAAAATAATTTTCAACATAATCTTTGTACTTTGAACTATTTTCAGTTTTTCCTTTTACATTATCAAGCTTATGAAAATACATATCTGCTGCGCATTACTATGACTTCGATGAATGTATAAATTATTTATAAATATGATTTCTAACTTTGAAAGTCTATAAATTTAAAGCACTCTATTTTCTATGGTGGGGGAGTATTCTGGTGGGGCAGAGTTCACTACTACTCACGTCAGGTGCGCATAGTGTCATTACTACTCGGGCAGCCGACTGAGTAACAAGTTATTTATGTTTCCTTTTTTTGTATAATTACTAGCTATTTTTGTTTCGATAAAATTGATATTTTACCTCCAATATTTTGTCTAATTATTTTCCCTCCTACTTACTATTATCATCGAAGAATATCTGCATGTATAATTCGACGAGTTTCCTAAAGAAAAAGATGTACAAATTTCCATTAATCTAGGACGAAGCCGAGCAGTTTCACGGAACATATATTTTTCTACAAACGCTTAATTATTGGTTATCATTTGTTAGACTGTTTCTCCAGTTGGTCACAGTCCACTAACGTCTGCCACTTACATCATTTTTTTTTTTTAAAGAAAGCTCGATCTGTGTCAATTTATCAAATTAATTAGATTTTATCGTGTTTCGGACATATCAAGGAAGAAAAAGTAATTTCTTTCAATTCGACCGTGCAGTCATCAAACTTATATCACCGAAATGAAAAAGAAATAGCTCGTTACGGTTGTTTCACAACGGAACATCGATTTACCGACAGAATTTGATCGTAAATCTTCGTTTTACAATTTAGCAAACCGATTATTCTCGTGTTCCCTGCCACGGAACATTTGTTACGTTGTTACGAGAAAGCCTTTTATCAATACAAGTTTCTCACGGTCGATTTTAATTAGACGTTCATTAACAACTCGTCGAGCTTCGAAGGAAAAAGAACACAAATAAGATACCCGCCATTATAATACAATTCACGCCTATATTGCAATCAAAATCCTTTACGTAAGAATTACTTCATTTATCATTTGCTGCATAATTCATCGCGAATTATTGCTCGTATGCTCGTAATAACGCAAACAAAGAAATGTAATTAACCGAACTAACAAGGGAACATAACCAAAAAACATACCGCGAACCCCATCATTTTTTCGATATTATGCTGATTCAAGGTAATAACGAATGCAATTTATATGTCTAATTACATGAAAGTTACGACTCACCGTAATCTCCGAATAAAATATCTTATTTTCGTGCCCATTTTGATGCCCATTTTCACTGGTTTTTGTCATTAACACACCAACGATATTCACTGCCTAACGTATACACGTTTGAAAACATACTAAGGGTGCGTGCCAGAGTCACGCATGGTGCGCTGCAACCGTTGGTAACGGTCACGTGCCAAAACACCGGTAACAGCTGCCAAATCACTGGTTTTGTGCGATACAAAATACCATTGGTTTTCTCTTTGCATGGTGTAGGCATTTGCCCGTCATACTGGATCGAGAAAACCAATGAAAATGGAAGGTTGAATTCTCCGCGCGGGACAAAAGAATTACGAACACAAAAGCATCGCAGTTGCGCGCACTGCACTTACCGCGCATCTGCTTTGCGCATACAAATTTTAGCGCTTTTTTATGTTTATGATTATTGTTCTATTTACTCAATATTATATAATGCAAAATAATTATTTTTTACTTAGCGACAGGAACACATCAATCCTCCCAAAAAATTACAAGGGACACTATATTAATTATATTTATTAGAAATTATGAAAATAAATATTATGTAGTCAATAGAAGTACGGGCCCCTGCAGGGTATGCAACCCGCCTGACGCGGCAGTACAGACGATTGCAGTGCTGCAGTTGCATTTGCACTGCCTGCGTAATGAAAACTATCTATACTTCATTTAACGATAATCCAATATAGTATTTGTAGTAAAACTGTTACTACGATGAAGATACAAGATCAATTTCTAAAATAATTATCTCGAGTAGAGTAATTTCAATGAAGTAGCATCTATTTTAACGGGAACAGAAGATATCATCGTTTCGCACGCGTCTTCCGATGGAGCGAGATTTGCAAAGCAAAAGTTAGAAAGCATGGCTCCGTTCGCGCTTCCGAAACCATGATGCCTTGCGATTCCGTCGGATAAACGTGTATTTTCGTCCTTAGATTTCACGCAGTTCTAACAGAGCCAACGAACGGTACAGGGTTAGAACGTACCGAAGAGAATAAATTTATTATCCGATTTGAAACGGACCCCTATCCGCGCAAATATTTTCTATCGCATTATAGTTCCGCGGCTTAATCCATGTATGTAGCATTATTCCAGTATGTAATTATAGTTTGAACGACAGATTTATGGACTCCCTGGGACTACTGTTAGGAAACTTGACATAAATATGGGAATGTTCTGCGTTGATTTATATCAGCCGCATGCGAGAATTGAACCGAGATGAATAGAAATGTTGAGAATAAATTGTGACACTAGAATAGAGTCATCTGAGTTATTTTAACGGTACCGGATTCTTTTGTGGAGACAGTATTGTTAAGAAACGTAATGTTTCTATCGAAGTTAAGCATAACCTGATTACATAAAGGCGTTATAAAACAACATTTGTATCAATGCGAAATTCAAGGTCTAGTTACGTGCGTGAAATTTGAGAATTTGATTCGAAAGAGAAGCAAGCATGAATCATCGTAATTGATTTTCCACTTTTCACGATCCACGACGCCTCGAACGGTTTTCCAAACATTTGCATACGAAAACCAGGAGAGTCTTGTTACGCAACAGGTATCCTCCTCCACTAATTACCCGCAATTACAATTAATTATCCCCTGTTCGCTAACACTCGGCTCATGGTAGTTCTGTCCCGAGCTCTGAGAACGACACTGTTCTCAGACAATTTGTCGGCTGCGTGGAGATTGCATTTCGAGTCCTTTCAAAGAGAACGTCCTCGTTACGCACCGTTATCTTGGCCATCCTGGCTCCGAGCTCCTGCTGATCTCGTCTTAGAAAACACAATGTATTCATAGAAAGTCACCGTAGGCAATTTACATGCGTACGTTTGCACAGGGCTCCTTGCACTTCGACCACCTCATCCTTTCACTGTCACCATTTTCCCACCATCGTCTGTAAAAGGATGTTTTGTTCTTAATCAGAAGATACAGTAGTGATTCAGGACTAGACTGCTTCGCATTGTGCTGCTTAACTGATAAATCGCATTCGGTACTTCGACAAATAACGTCCTCGATTTCATCGTGCGGACTGTACAGGAGGTACAAGGCACGTCATCGAGTTGGTAATGAATAACTGCGCCTGTGAAGATACAATGCACGAGCGTGCGTGTAATGAGGAGCTACAGGCGCTCTATTTACTTGAAATTATGAGAAAAAGGATAACGTCCTTAGATCTTAGAATCTTCCTAGAGCATTATACTGTTTCTGACATTAGTCGAACATTCGTAAAATGATTCACAAGTATAAATCTTTATGGACGATATCGAACACCTGCACCAATCGAGTGTTACATTGAAATGCCTCCGTCAAATGGTCGATCGATGGGTCTCCGATGAATTCATATCACTTCCCGTCAGAACGGAAACGCAGCGTGTCGCGGATGGAATAACTGAACGATTGGAAAACGCTATTGTCTATGTGGTCGCTGGTTCCAGGCAAGCTCGTTTCTCTGCAACTAGGCGGGGCCATCCATGGGATGGATGGATGCATCCATGTGCCAAAAGGATGCGTGTCTTCAATATTAAACACGCGATCCTCCTGGAAATCGGATCGCCGAGACATGGCTGTCATTTCAATCGAACGCTCGCTTTTTCCTTTTAGAGTGCAGGCTTGCGTGCAGACTTGCCAGCAACAGATGATTAGCGGTGCGGTATTGGAAAATTCGATTCTTTTGTTTTATTTTTAGTTCTTTATCTCTGGACTTCGATTATTATCTTTCTCTTCTAACCTTAATTATAGTTCTCGTTTCTTCTTAATTACAATTATCTTCTTTTAATCCTTAAATTCCTTTGGTATTCAGTATGCGTCTCAAAAAATTTCAATCACACAGTCGAACGGTTCATTCAGACATACTGACTCGCCATTACAAAATCGAGGTAAAAGGTGTTTCCTCTCTGACCAAATAGAAAAAAGGGAAGAAAAGAAACCATACAAGAAGAAAGGTGTTTCAAGATCACCTAAGATCCGCCCGACTTCCATCGAGTAATTACTTTGACCACAGAACAACGCACGCCTTATAAAACATTGCAACCGATACTGTGGCGCTTTGATTCAACGTAATCGATTGGAAATAGCGGTTGTGCTCGTGGAAAGGAACGTTATTCTCAAGTCCAGTGTGCTCCA